GTAGCAAGGTGGGGCTGATGGGCCCCACGGCAAGGATGCAGTGTTTCCATCTTACCCGGGGACACCCAAAGAATCACTAAGGTGCTGTCCTTTCTAGCTGGGAAAGGGGTTTTATGTACGCTTTCTCACTTAACATGTCTATGAGGAAGAACTGTCATGCCCATTTTTCAGGTGAGGGGACTGAGGCTGGGGTCATTATTTGTCCAAGGTCCCATAAACGATAATTGACAGAGGCAGGTCTATCTGGCATCAAAACCCTTGCTCTTTGAACCATATCACACCAACTCTTTACAGAAGCTTGTCCCAAGTGATCTTCCCCAAAGTGATCTCCAGTGGGGGCTTCCAAGTTCTTTTTTTTTTTTTTTTAGATTTTATTTATTTGCGAGACAGAGAATGAGAGACAGAGAGCATGAGAGGGAGGAGGGTCAGAGGGAGAAGCAGACTCCCTGCCGAGCAGGGAGCCCGATGCGGGACTCGATCCAGGGACTCCAGGATCATGACCTGAGCTGAAGGCAGTCGCTTAACCAACTGAGCCACCCAGGCGCCCAGGGGGCTTCCAAGTTCTTAACCAGAATTTGATTCTGTCCCGGGGGGCGTGACTATCGACATGATTATTCTCTGCTGTACAGACCTGTGACTCATTGTATATAGATACTCTGGCTTCCAGAACTGCCATCGAGTCCTTGCGAGTCTGGTCAAGGAAGTCAAGCCCTCCAGAGAGGGGTAAGGGGTCCTCTGGAGCTCAAGCCCATTCCTGTCCCGCATCCTGGGCTCCCTGCCAGGCCTGCAACCCCCTTCTGCTCCCTTCCCAGCCCAGGCCTGAGCAGCTGCAGCCAAAATGGGCCAGCAGGCCAGCAACATGGGCGTGCCCACTCCCAGGAGCCCAATGTGGTGCTGATAGCAGGTTCCCCAGGCCAGGCCCCGCCTCGGATGGAGCGCCCCAACTGTTTCGGGATCCCAGGGCGCAGCCTGGCTCACTCCCCAGATTTGGTCGGTGTCCACGTCCAGCTGGTGGGACGGGTGTGGGGTGGTGGACAGAGCCTGGCATTGAACAGGGTGACTGTGGTTGAATCAGCTCTCTGGATTTGTGCCTTCTGACTGTTAGAGATGGCGTGCTGAGAGCTGACAGTTCCGGGAGCTGCCCTCTGTCCTGCCCTGTACCGGTCACTTCACGGAGACCTCGTGTCTTCGGACGACAACCCCGTGGGGGCAGCTACTATTCTCACTTCCATTTGCAGGCAGAAAACTGAGGGCCAGGGAGCTCAAGTGACCTGCCTTAGGTCACACAGCCAGTAGGCAGCTGAGCCAGGCCTGGAACCCAGGCGGTGTGGCTCCGGGGCCTGCAGTCTGAGCCCCCGCAGTCCCTATGGTGGGAGACTGTGGTCATGCCTTCGAGAGGAAGCCGCTCCTACCTGTCTGGGCCTTGGTTTCCCCATCGGCAAGATGCGAGATGTCCCCTTATCCGTTACTGAAGCGAGTGATCATTCAACGGATCTTCAACAGACAGCTCCCACGAGCGAGCCAGGAGGTTCCAGGCGCTGGGGATGGAGTGGTGAACAGATCCGAGAAGCCCCTGACCTCCTGGGCCTGGCATTCTAGTGCAGGGACAACGGACAGCGGACGAGCTAGCGAGCGTGTTCTGTGTCAGGCAACTGAGTGACGTAAGAGGTGTGAGAACTCAGAGCAAACTTACAAATGACTCCATCCTCCCCAGAAAGGATCTCGAGAGCCCAGTGCCATGTCTGCACAGAAACGGGGCCCAGGGTGTGTTAGGGCTGTTGTGGGGTGGATATGGTTTTATCCTTATCTGCCAGGTGCTTTAACCGGATCCACCTGATTTTGCCCTCCCCATGACCTGTGCGGTAGGTTTTATTATTTCCGTTTCACAGACGAGGAAACAGGGTCAGAGACATTAAGCAACTTGCCCAATGTCACACACTGTAAGTAGGACAACTGGGATTCAGGGAAACACCCTGATCTGAAGTCCAGGGCCTCCCACTCCCGGGGCTACCTACATAGGACAGAATTTCAACATGCCGAGAGTTCTTATTTTATGAGCGTAGATTCAAATCAGCAATGCCTGATGTCAGAGGAGCAGAATTTTTCATGCATTCATCTGACCTTATTCCAGGCTCTGTCCCAGCAGGGCTGTGGTGGGGGTGGCAGGGATGGGACCGCAGAGGTAACTAGCTGTGGGGGGCCCTGCCCTGCAGAAGCTCGGGGCTTCATGAGAGGGTTCCAGACCTGGGACTGGGAATCCCAGCGATGTTTCGGGGTACCCTGATAAGGCACAGGTCAGCGCCCTTTGCAGCACTGATTAAACATTTCCCATATGACGGGGTTGGGCAGGGCTGGCTTCCATTCTGGCTCTGGGCCTGCCACTCCCTTGCTGTGTGACTTAGCACTAATCCCTGTACTCTCTGGGTGTTAGGGCATCACACGGGGGAGGGCTGCCTAGCATGGATCCTCCAGCCTGACGCTGGTCACTCCAGGAGGAAGATAAGGCCCTGTCAGATGTGTGGGAGGCTGGGTAGATACACTCCTCCCTATTGATCATCCAAAGGATGTGAAGCCTGCACAAGGACAGCCTCGGTGCACCTGTCATACCTGGAACCAGGGACGCTTGTCCCGAGCACGTGTGGGGTCAGGCAGCACAGTGGCCTCGAGAGGGAAGCTCAGTGGCTCTGAGCACCGACTTTGAGCTTCCAAACTGGGGCCTGATTCCTCACTCTACCACCAGCCAGCTATGTGACTTTGGCCAAGTCACCCAGCTTCCCTGAGCCTCGGTTTCCTCCTCCGTAAAATGGAGATAAGATTTGCAGGGAGCCTAGCACAGTGCCTGGTAGCTGCTCACTCAATGTACAGGAGCTGACTGCGGGTGGTTAGGAAGCTGATGATGACAGGCAGTGAGGCGTAAAAGCTACCACTTTTGAGCACCGACTGCATGCCAAAGCACGGGGCGCAGTTCAGGTTCTCCACCGTGGTGATATGTGTGTGTGTGTATAAGTATAAACACACACACATATATTCTGATAAACAACCTCCGGCTCTCTGTGTGAGAGAGATAGAAGGAGGAGAGGGAAGGGGGGAGGGAAGGAGGGAGGGAAGGAGGAGAGCGAGAGAAAAAACAGCTACACTGGCAGACTTTAGGGAAGCTAGCCAGCTGGCTGCCTAGGGATGAGGACTGGATTGGCACTGAGTAAAATACTCCTTTTTTTTTTTTTTTTGCTATGACAATCCCAAATTATATATTTTTAAAATTAATTCTAGCATAGTTAACATACAGTGTTATATGGATTTCAGGTACAATATAGTGATTCAACACTTCCATACATCACCCGGTGCTCATCATGACAGGTGCGCTCCTTCATCCCCAACACCTGTTTCCCCCTTCCCCACACTCACCTCCCCTCCAGTAACCATCAGATTGTTTCTCTAGAGTTAAGAGTCTCGTTTTCTAGGATGCCTGAGTGGCTCAGTCGTTAAGCGTCTGCCTTCGGCTCAGGTCATGATCCCAGGGTCCTGGGATCGAGCCCCGCATTGGGCTCCCTGCTCAGCAGGGATTCTGCTTCTCCCTCTCCCCCTCCCTCTGCTTGTGTTCCCTCTCTCGCTGTGTCTCTCTCTGTCAAATAAATAAAATCTTTAAAAAAGAGAGAGAGTCTCGTTTTCTGTTTGTCTCATTTTTCCTTTGTTCCTTTGTTTTGTTTCTTAAATTCCACCTATGATTGAAATCATATGGTACTTGTTTTTCTCTGACTAACTTACTTCGCTTAGCATAATACCCTCTGGTTCCATCCATGTCGTTGCAAATGGCCAGATTTTGTTCTTTTTTAGGGCTGAGTAATATTCCATTGAGTATATATACTGCTGCTTTATCCGTTCACCAATCAATGGACAATGGGCTGCTTCCATAGTTTGGCTATTGTAAATAATGCTGCAATAAACATGGGGGTGCATGTATCCCTTTGAATTCGTGTTTCTGTATCCTTTGGATAAATACCTAGTAGTGTGATTACTGGATCGTAGGGTACTTTTATTTTTAACTTTCTGAGGAACCCCCATACTGTTTCCCAGAGTAGCTGCGTCAGTTTGCGTTCCCAACAAGAGTGCACGAGGGTTCCCCTTTCTCCACATCCTTGCCAGCATTGTTTCTTGTGTTTTTGATTTTAGGCATTCTGACAGGTGTGAGGTGATAGCTCATTGTGGTTCTGTGAATACGCCTTTCTAGATTTCGCATTTTGAATCATGTGACTGTTTTCCCTATTTAACCTGACATTCCAGTTAGACTTATCGCCTTATCATTTGATCCTCAGAATAATCTGCAAAAGAGGGCTAGACCCCACCCATCTGGCAGAGGAGGTGACATGCGTGACTTGTTCAAGGTCACACAGCTCTACCGTAGGGGACTCTGCCCAGGCGGTGAGCTGGAGTCTGCGGTCCCTGGTGGCTCTAAGGTTCAGTTCTCCGGCCGAGCTCAAGGCGCTGTGCTCTGGAGGAGGAGCCCCCACGGCCCCTGCGGCTGCCTCTGGCTGGGGCAGCACCCACAAGTGCCTTCACTCTGCCTGGCTGGTCTCACTGGCTCGGTTTGAGAACCTGCCCTGCAGGCCTCAGCTCTGCAGGGGGAAGAAATAAAAATAGCCGGGTGGAGAGGCCAGGGGCTGGGCTGTGGGCAGCAACGCGTGCCTTTCCCATGACTCGGGTTCTGTAGAGCAGAGTCTTCCCCTGAGTCCGTGCGTGCCAGGCCCTGGGCTGGGTGCCCAGGAGGCAGAGCCGAGTCAGGCACAGCTGCCCCGCCCCCAGGAGCTCATGTCGAGCCCAGCACCGTGAGGTGGGGGCCCAAGAGGGGTTAGCAGGCAGGGGATGCTGCGAGAGAGACCTCTCCCCCAGCCTGGCGGTGGGGGGGGGGTAGCAGGGAAGGGTTCCCAGAAATAGGTCACATGGGAGACACAGTAGTTAAGAAGAGGTGTGGGAAGCATTCCAGGCAGTGGGAACAGCATTTGCAAAGGCAGAGAGGTGTGATGAATATGAGCCACGGAGAAGTGCGAACGGCTGGGTGCATGGGGAGGGTGGGTGCCTGTGGGGCAGGATGTAGGGTTGGGCTGGGGAAGCAGGCAGAGCCCATCACAGGAGAGGCAGGATGGGACTGCGGGGCAATGCAGAGCCAAGAGAGTCTGCAGAGCAGGGGGTGAAATGTTGGATCAGCATCTTAGAAAGACTGTGGACTCTGGAACTCAACTAGACAGTCACACCACGGCCTCGATCCACCGTCTCGTCCCTGTATGCTCCCTCTAGATGCCGTGGAGGCCTCTTTACCAACCTCCAGTTTCTAGCACCTGCAGCTCTACCTGATGGCTCTCTCTGGCTGTCAGAATTCATGCCCCTGCTGGTCTCTGCTTACTCCCACCAGGAGCCCGGGCCCCTGCGTGACTTGTTCAAGGTCACACAGCTCTACCTTAGGGGACTCTGCCCAGGTGGTGAGCTGGTGTCTGCGGTCCCTGGGCTAGCATGCAGGGGATGCTGCGAGAGAGACCTCTCCCCCAGCCTGGCGGTGGGGGGGTAGCAGGGAAGGGTTCCCAGAAGTAGGTCACATGGGAGACACAGTAGTTAGGGCTGGCAGAGAGTGGATGGGTGCGAGCGAATACCGGGCTCACAGTAGGCTCGCAAGAAAGGAGAATTGTTGTCCATGAGCAGGTAGTTCTAGCTCTGTTATCCTCTCCTTTACAGAAAAGAGTAACGAGGAATAAATGCTTCGCTTCCTCCCCAAACTGCCAACTGCTTAGGGGTAAAAGAGGTCTGTTTGTTTATTTGTTTCCTGGATGCAAAGAACTGGCTGATTTCTCCGAGCCTGGTGCAGCTGACAATTCTATCAGCCAACGCGGACGAGGCCTGGAAGGTAGCTGAGACTTTGGGGTTGCACGGGAGAGGGCTCTTCTGAGGACCCACCGGGACCTCTGCCTCAAAACCAACACCAGTTTCTGGTCCTGTGCCAGCCACAGGGGTAATTAGGCCAGATGGTCTCAAGGCAGAGATTCCAATGGTCCCGGCGCTGCTATAAATCAAGCCACAAATGGGGAGGGTGTCTGACGGACACAGGGTGTGGTCATTTTAGGGCAATTTCCCCCTTCAGGCAAGGTTTCCATGGAGATACATCCAGCTTTCCCCCATCTGAATGTGGAAATGAGTTAGGTGATGGGTCCTTTTTTTTTTTTTTTTTAGAGAGAGAGAGAGTGCGAGAGCGTGCATGTGAGCAGGGCTAGGGAGGGGCTGAGGGAGAGGGAGAGGGAGGTAGAGAATCCCAAGTAGGCTCCACATCCAGCATGGAGCCGGACGAGGGGCTCGATCTCATGACCCTGAGATCATGACCTGAGCGGAAATCAAGAGTCAGACACTCAGCTGACTGAGCCACCCAGGCGCCCCTAGGTGACGGGTTCTGATGGTTTGGGTGTTAAATGAACACATCCCTGTGAACATAATGTTTGATATTCCCTTTGATGGTGTCAACTGGACAGAATGTAGGGTTTTCTAGACTTTTTTTTCCCCCAAAGAGATGTATGAAATAGGAGTTTTCACGTAATTCCTATATGGGTTTTGTTGTTTTGTTTTTCAGAATATGGGTCGAGTGGAAATCTACTTTGCAGGAACAAGTGGGCATCTTCTGTCCAAGTAGATGAACTGCAGAACCTTCTAGCATCTTTCTCCGTCTTCCTCCCCAGGACAACTGGAACTGACCCCCCCCCTTCCACTGGGCCTGTGGTGGTGGCTTGTGAGGACAGCCCCCTGTGGATCCGTGAACACACTGCACTCGGCGGGTGGGAGGGATAATCCCAGCCACGTGGCCGACCCTGCTTTGGTGAAGGCATCTGCCTCAAAGGACTGTGAAGCATTTGCTTCGTAAGTACACGGAGAGCCCACAAAATTGCCCATGGCACGCAGTGAGTGCCCAGCAGATGCTAGCGTTCTCCTCCTGTTTAGAAAGGCCTCCGTGGCTCGTGAAGCAAATAGCAGGCAAACGAATTCATGTAAGCATATGAGGACAGGGACACCATTTCTCTTTTTTTTTAATTTTTATTTTTTAAAGATTTTATTTATTTATGAGAGAGAGAGCATATGAGAGGGGGGAGGGTCAGAGGGAGAAGCAGACTCCCTGCCGAGCAGGGAGCCCAATGCGGGACTCGATCCAGGGACTCCAGGATCATGACCTGAGCCGAAGGCAGTCGCTTAACCGACTGAGCCACCCAGGCGCCCAAGGGACACCATTTCTCAAATGAGGAATAAGCCTTAAAAAGAAATGAACCACAGCAGCATGATTCGCAATAACCGAGAGGTGGAAGCCACCCAAGTGACCATCCACGGACGCTCGAGCCGATAAGCCGAGTGTGGCGCGTCCGTGTGGTGCAATGTTCCTCAGCCCTAAAAAGGAAGGGCATCCTGGCACCTACAGGACCGTGGATGGCGCTTGGAGACATTGTGCTCAGTGAGGTAAGCCAGTCGTGGAAAGACGCATTCCGGATGATTCCACTTTACACGAGGTCTCCAGACGAGTCAAACTCCTAGAAACAGAAAGGAGCCGGTGGCTGCCCAGGGCTGGGGGCGGGGGAGGGCGGAACGGGGAGTGTTGCCCTCGGTCAGTTTCCGTTTCGCAAGATGAAGATTATGGAGATGCAAGGTGGTGGTGGTTGCGCGACATTATGAATGTGTCTAGTACCACTGAACTGGATACTTAGAAATGGCTGAGAGAGTAATTTTATGAGACGTGTATTTTACTACAATTAAAAAAAAGTTTGACCAGGGGCGCCTGGGTGGCTCAGCCGTTAAGCGTCTGCCTTCGGCTCAGGTCATGATCCCAGGATCCTGGGATCGAGTCCCGCATCCGGCTCCCTGCTCCACGGGAAGCCTGCTTCTCCCTCTCCCACTCCCCCTGCTTGTGTTCCCTCTCTCGCTGTGTCTCTCTCTATCAAAAAAATAAAATCTTTTAAAAAAAAAATCTTAAAAATTAAAAAAAAAAAAAGTTTGACCCCATTTGCTCAGGTCCCTTCACTGGCAGGCGTGAGAGCAAGAATTCAGACCCGCGTCTGAGTGGCTTCCCCACCAGCAACTCCCCACCAGAAACCTCCTGGCCGGGTGCCCGGTGAGTGGGTAAAATCCAGGGGGAGAGGGTGGCTTCCAGAAAGAGCCGAATGCTTTACTGGGGGAAGACACAGAAGGCAAACTGGGAGAGAGGAGGAATCAGTGGGCATGGAGTCAGGAGAACGGGGTGTCAGGCGACTTCTGCTGTGTGAGCTTGGGCACACCACTCACCTTCTCTGGGCTTTGCGTCTCCACTCCTACATGAGGGTTAGGTTGGGAGGGCATCCGGGCCCTTCCAGCTCGAAGGTCTGGGGAGGGGAGAGATGGGAGGCCCAGGTCCGTTCTTAGGGCTCCAACAGGCCTGAGGGCCCTCCCCGACCAGGGACCCTTGCTGGGCGCTGGGCACGGTCTTCTTCCTCGAGCATCTTCTGTGCACCAAGCTCTGTTCTGGGCCAGGTCCCAACATCGTCTTAGGGAGGACAGGCAATAGACAAGCAAACAAACAGGAATAGATCCTGCGAAGAAGCGCAGACCGCTATCGGGTAGGGTTTTTCAGAGGCGGGTCAGTGGAGTTCTTGGTAGAGAGGAAGGCTTCACTCTTCCTTCACAGGCCCCAGAAGGGCATCCTGGAGGAGGTGGCATTTGGGTCAGGCCTGGAGCCTGGTTCCACAAGCCCCTGTGGAGCACAGACATCAGCTGGGCGCGAGGGGCTGGAGATAAAGAGACTCGTGGGGACGACAGACAGGGCAGCTAACGCATCGCAGTGCCGGGCGTGGTGGGGGGGGGTGGAGAGGAGACGGGGACAGCAGGGCACCTCTCGGGAGATTTGCCCAGAGAAGAGGACACATGAGCTAGACTTGGGAGGACGAGTGAGTTCATCAGAGCCGAGAAGCGCCCCAGGCTTGGGGAACAGCAGGTGTGAAGGCCGGAGGACCCACAGCAGAGACACCATGCCGGGTGTGGTGTTGAAAGGCAGCACTCGCCCGGAGCTTCGTATGCTGGGTGACGCTGCTTCAGGTGACTCACTTCTCTGGGCCTCCTCGGTTTACCTGTTTGCACAATGAATGGGAGTACTTTTGAGAATGCAGCGAGGTGATGTAGGGACAGAGCAGAAGCTGGATGGCATGGGTTTTCTTTCTTGTTCCTCTCCATATTGCCAGATCATAGTGTATCAGGGGAACGGGGCGTGAAAGGCCAATTTGCTGAATTTGCTCCATTCGGCTCCTGCCAAAACCCCTTCACTTACATTGGCTGCCCACCCCTCTGAGTAGAGAATCATCTTCTGGGACCCCCGCATCCCCACGTGGAGCCTACCAGCCCCAACCTCCAAAATCTCCCCCCATTAGAAGCACTATCCTGGATGTCATGCTTTTGGGGACCTTCTTTCTTACACAGCAAATGATGGCTAAGGGTGAGCGGAGTTCCTGCTCAAGGTGAGGGCTGGACCCAGATCCTGTCCATTTACCTCCGGGGGGATGCCGCTCAGCTGTGGAAGTCCCAAGCTCTGGAGAGGCAGTAGAGAGGGTGTCTGGTCAGGAGAGGCAGGGCAGGTGGCGTTCCTGCCATGGATTCTCCTGGTCTGAGCCAAAAGGCATGGCTCAGTTGGTAAAGCGTCTGCCTTTAGCTCAGGTCATGATCCCAGGGTTCTGGGATCTTTTGGGCTCTCTGCTCGGCGAGGAGTCTGCTTCTCCCTCTGCTTGCCGATCCCCCCAACTAGTGCTCTCTCTCTCAAATAAATAAATAAAATTAATTTTAAAAAAGGGCCTTAGCAAGAAAAGAATTTCTTTCTTTCTTTTTTAAATGTATTTATTTATGGGGGGGGAGGTGCAGAGGGAAAGAAAACCCAAGCAGACTCTGGGCTCAGGGCAGAGCCCGATGCAGGGTCGATCTCACGACCCTGAGATCAGGGTCGTGAGATCACCACCCGAGCTGATACCAAGAGACAGAAGCTCAACCGACCACGCCACCCAGGCGCCCCAGGAAAGGAACTTTGCCAGAGGCTATGCAACTGCCAAGTGGCCGAGTCACCCAGTCCAACTTTTCCACGTTGGCTCTGAGAAGCCAAGCCACTTGCCTCTGTGCCATGAGCATACCTGATGTACCTTCTCACTTCTTTCTAGCATCATGAGCTGTTAGTAACAATTCTTAGGAATGACCCAAACAGAGCTGTAAATCTCTGGCATCCTCTGGTCTTTATTTAGTCGTTCAACAAATCCTTATTTGAGCACCTGCTGTGTGTGAGGCCTGGTTTTAGGGGCTGGGGATACAGCAGTGCACAATGCAGACAGAGCCCTGCCTGCCCTCCTGGGACTTACAGTTAGAGCAGGGGAGAGAGCCAGAGACAAATAATCATGTAAGGAAGCATGCGATGCTTAGTGCTAGGAAGAAAACCCAGGTAACACAGGGGTTGTGCTATTTATGACCATGGAAGATTCCTAGGGACATAATACAATGGATTGCACAGTGGACCCCAAAAATAGATCCAGGGGTGCCTGAGTGGCTCAGTTGGTTAAGCGCCTGCCTTCAGCGCAGGTCATGATCCCAGGATCCCGGGATCGAGTCCCACGTCGAGCTCACTGCTCAGCAGGGAGCTGCTTCTCCCTCTGTCTGCTGCTCCCCCTGCTTGTGCTCTTTCTCTCTCTCTTTCTTTGTGTCAAATAAATAAACAAAATCTTAAAAAAAAAAAAAAAAGATATGTCCACCAAGAATCTCTGAATGTGACTGTATCTGGGAAAAGGTCTTTGCTGATGTAATTAAGTGACAGATCTTGAGATGAGTTCATTCTGGATTTATCCAGGTGGGTCTTAATTCTGATAAATAGTGTCCTTTTTTAAAAGATTTTATGTATTTATTTGTCAGAGAGGGAAAGAGAGAGAGAGGGAGAGGCAGAGAGCACACAAGCAGGGACCCTGGGACCATGACCTGAGCCGAAGGCAGGCGCTTAACCAACTGAGCATCCCAAATAGTGTCCTTATAAGAAAAGAAGACGAATACCCATAGAAGGCCACGTGAACACCCCAGTGACCATGGAGGCAGAGAGATTGGAGTGATGTGGCCACAAGCCAAGGAAAGTTTGGAACCAATAGAAGCTGGAAGAGACAAAGGATTCTCCCTTAGAGGCTTCGGAGGGAATGCGGTCTGCTGACACCTTGATTTCAGACTTCCTGCCTCTGGAACTGTGAGAGAATAAATTTCTGTTGTTTTAAGCCCCCCAGTTTGTGGTACTTTGTTACCGCAGTCCCAGGAAACGAATATTCATAACTTCTGACCCCCCTTGAACCCAGTGAGGAAGTAACCACATAGGTATGTGGGGGAAGAGTATGACAGGTAGAGGCAATTCAGGTGCAAAGGCCCTGAGGCTGACTGGGCAGACTTGGGGAAGAGCAAAAGCCAATGTGGCTACTGGAGGAGGCTTGGAGGTCTGTGAGAGCAGGTCAGAAGGAGCCTGTTTACCGGAGGGTTTAGGGTAGGAGGGAGACATGATCCGATGTGGTCCAAAATCAGACCGCTCTGGCCGCTGACATGAGTGCAGACTGAGGAGGTGGGGGGGTGGAAGCCCACTTTGCATGCCCCCCAAAATCACACTGGATTCTAAAAGCATTTTCAAGCTCACATGCTTTATGGAAGGTCTGGTGGGAAAACAAAAGTGGAAGTTACACAGCACACGCCGAGCAAACCCTGCCCTCCTTCCTCTTTAAACAATTCAGCTCCTTTTTTCTTTTTAATTTTAATTTGCATCCCAAATCCTTTTAATAACAAGCTAGGATCTAGGGTTAGGTGTTTTTTTTTTTTTTTTTTAAGATTTTATTTATTTATTTGACAAGAGACACAGCGAGAGAGGGAACACAAGCAGGGGGAGTGGGAGAGGGAGAAGCAGGCTTCCCACTGAGCAGGGAGCCCAATGTGGGGCTCAATCCCAGGACCCTGGGATCATGACCTGAGCTGAAGGCAGACGCTTAACGACTGAGCCACCCAGGTGCCCCTCGGTTTTGTGTGTTATATATATTCACTCTCTATTTGTACCTTGTCTTTTTTACTTTC